CCCAAGAACATTGCATTTCCTCCTCACCATCTAATGCAACCCCATCTAATCAGTCATGCATTCATTTTTCCTGAGAAGAAACTTCTTTGTTAGAGACTATTTACTGTAGCCAAGTTCTTACACTAAAAATCTAGTGCAGGAATCATCTAAAAATACAGGTAAATAAATACAACAGGGGAAAAAATAAATATTAGATTCCCTTCTCTCAGCTTCAGCAAGATTAAACAGTCAATATATCTCTAAAATGTGGTAAGACAGTTTAAGTTTAGGGGTTTACACACCATGTTAAACAACAGATTGATGGTATGTATAGCTTAGCTCAGAATTTACTGGAGACCAAAAATTATATAATATGCTTGGAAAACAGAACAAATCAAGAAGCCCATAACTTTTATTCGACAATTACCAAGTTATCTATGTGATGTCAACCAAAAACCAAAACTGGCTCTATGAAAAGGGCCATTAACATCTCTTTCTGAATCTCTACATTCTATTTGTCAAACAAAAAAAAACATCAGCCAAAACAGTCTTAACTTCTCCAAACAAAATCACCCTGAATTAAAACTTTACTCTTCCTGATCCATCCCACAATCAACAAAACCTCCTCTGCCTGGAGACACGAACAAGTTGTGATGCTAGCTAAGTTATAAACTTCTTAAATTCCTATAAATTAAACAGCAAGTTTGTGAAACAAGCAGAGGTACTGCAAGGAAGCAGACAAGACACACAAGACACAACTACACAAGGGGCTACTGCATCACAGCAGGCACACCTGACTCCCATCCTGATACTATTTTTAACCTCTTACTAAGTCTGTACTTTCAGGATAAGAAGAAATACGTGAGAAATTTCTGCAGCAGAAAGAACATTGTGTACTTTAATGTAGCAGTTCAAGGACTTGATCCAAAAACCACAACTGATCACACTTGTCAAGATGGACTTAAGGAAGAGAAATGGAATACTCTATAAACCCAGTAACCAGCATCAACAGTAACAAAGGAGAACTTGATCTATCATTTGAATTGCAGGTACAAGACCTCCTTAGAAGACTTAAGAGAGTATAAGAATTCTGCACCAACATTTAAACAAGTTGTACAATATAGAAACACATCATTTGAATCAAGACACCAAATGGCCAGAGGCACAAGAGAATTTAATAAGACTTTTTAGACAGGAACAGAAGTGGTTTTGTAATCACATTGAAGGACTTCTTTGACTCTGACATATACTTCATACACACCTTCCTACACTGACCACAAAACCATCACAGGTCTTCTCATGACATCTTCATCCATACCATCCACTGCTTAAGAAACATCCATCTTCCACTTCTGGAACACCACTTTAAAACAAACAGCCAACCAACTCTGGCTGAATTCAAGGTGAATTTTAAGAGATTATTAAAAATATACACCCTGGTTTTATACTTTTCTGCCTCTCCTCATATAAAGGGCCTATAGCAGAAGGCAGTCAATATTAAAAGTCAGAGGAAAAGTTCCATTTCAAGACATTCTTCTAAGATATGTTTTACAGGAAATCACAGGAAACCTCCCACTTGTCTCCATTAGTAAGAACTGAAGACTATGTCCAGCACCTTGAATGAATCCAAATGTACTCTCCCCACTGCCACTTTATTCTTTAGTCTTATTATTGTAACTTATGTGCTTGATTTCTACACCTGGATAACACATTTGTCTCAAAAACTGCCATTCTGTGAAGTTTTTATTTTTTCTGAATTCCTAATTCTGGAATACAGCAAAAGGGAAGGAAGTTTGGACTTCACAGACATGATGTTTTCCAGCTTTAGTTTACTTCCCAATAAACAAAGGGCGACAAAGAAAAGCAACAAAAAGCAGAAAAGACAACCCCAAAAGCCTCAAAGACACAGAAAACCTTTTTAGAGTAGATGAGTCTGAACCAGTAATTCTAATAAACTTGCGTTAATAACTTTTTAAAAGGTAAAATCTGTGACAAAAAGTAAAATTACTTCATTCATAGAAAGGTTTCCATACAGCCTGTATGTAGTACAGTTTACAGAACTTACTGGACATTATCTCTTACTTCATTAAGCAAGAAGACTGAAAGGACATAATTTTGTAGAAGACACCATACTCAGAAAACAGATGCAGTTAAGCACAAGAAACAAACTTGCAAACCCTATTTTCCCTACTTAGCAAGACTTATCCAATAGAGTACAGAATGACAGCACCATCTACTCTCAAATGGCTATCATATGCATTTGATATGGAAACAAGATACTGTACCAGTCAGATTACCTACAAATGGCTAACACCAAAGCTTACACTGCCTAAGTGCTGCTTCTCTAACTTGTTTCTTCCACAGGATCTTTGAAAACTAAAATCTCTGATAAATTATTCACAGTAGAGTAATTTTTGTGTCATCACACAAACAAAATCACATGTATATTGGCACTGGTTCCTAAATGTACCATCACTATAGAAATTAGTCAATAATGCTAAATAGGTTAAAATGATACCAATCAAATTTATGAAGAATAAAGCATTTCTCTTTTCTATGATGCCGTTTTATCCACAAACCAAAACAGAATAAGAATGAAAAACCACAGAAACTGTCCAGGTGCCAACATTTGCCTTAGCTTTTTTTAAAATCTACTATTTCCCAATATTTCCACTACAAATTGACTACTTTAATGCCAGTCATTTTAGAAGCATCTTCAAAAATACAATCTTCAATTGATCAGTGCTACAATTACATTATAGTACCAACAAATGAGGTTAATGCAAGCATATTTGGAAGCAAAGAAACTATTAAAACACATTAAAGCTACTAAACACATTAAAAACTTCTTTGCTAAGTTACCAAGAATTAGCATGATGAAGTATATTGAAGCACTCCTTAGCAGTGCTCTAACACCTAGTCATATAGCTCAGCAAACAAGTACACCTTCATTCAGCTTAAAACTAGGACATATAAACATCACAAGTAGATGAAAAAGGATGCACTGAAATCATATAGACTTTTACTTGGAATGACATGGGTCATGATCTAATGAAGTAATGCTTACAATTTTTTCATTTAAGCATTCTGACAGTCAAAATGCAATTTGTATAGGAAACACAACTCACAATTTGAACACAAGAAAAACATTTCTGTTATGCTCCTTTTCTCAAGCTCTGAACTCCATCAGTTAAGCAAAATAAGATAGCTGTCAACTTCTGAAATACTAATTTTAAAAGCCTGAAATAGTTATTGTGATTCAGTGCACTTCATTAGTATGATTTGTTTTAAAATTGCCCCTCTCCAACCATCTCAGAAGAATGGCCCAAATAGACAGTAAATATGCCAACTACCCTTCTCCAAAAATTCTGTGCTTCACAAAAGACATCCTTCTAGCACCACTGTTACCATAATACAGAAAAAGAAATGGGTAACCAGAAAGAAGCAACTCCAGCAACTAGATAAGAGTTACTAACATATTGCCTGAATTACTGTACAGAGCTTATAGCAAGTATTTTGAAGGAGTGTCACTGAAATTTGCTTTAATTTTTGCCAACTTTAAGCAAACCTGTAACTAGATTAGGGTTTCATACAACACAGGTAAGTCAAAATAAAACCTGCTTATATAATCCAACTACTCCTGTCAAATTTCCCTTGTCATAACATGTTCGTATTTCCTTTGAAACACAATGACTTCTATACATATACCAAATGGGATGCATAAATTAGGTAGCCATGGGCTCAGCGATGAACAGCTCTCTCAGGAGTTCTGGTAAGAATGCATCCACATTGAAAACATTGCTTTGCACACAAATTCACACACAGACAACATGCATTTATCAAAATCTTTAATGATCACTAAAACACCTTAAACAGTATATTTTGCTCCTCTTCGAGCATGTCTGCCTAAGTATATTCACATCTGGACAGTCTTGATGTTCTATAAGAAAAAAGTCCTTAGATGTCAAACAAATTTCAGACACCCTACCAAGCCCAAAAGACTACCACAGTAGACTGAGTAGCTATAATCATTGCCAATGATCTAGAAGGAGCATATGTACAATTCAAACATAACAGCAATGACATATACAAGAATGTAGACATTTCACTGCTTCCACCAACAATTTCACCAGCTGTAAAACTATACTGCCACCATGCCTGCCTCAGAGCTCAAGTACAGACAGACAGAAGAGCAGGAATTCAATCCTCCATTCGCTTGATATGTCATTCCCCACTATCTCCTTTAAAAAGAGACTTCAGATAGAGCATTGTCTCTTTCGTTTGAGTAGATTTACAGTAATACCACACAAGGCAAAGACTAATGGCCACAACAATGTTCAATCCCCCCTCTTCCCAAAACAAGACTGCAGATCTTGCACAGAATTTCCTGAAATATTGTTTTTTAAAATATTAGGTAATCAAATCAAATATTAAAAACCTCTTCAGTTACCACCAAGAGTGCAGATAAAGTGGACATTAATTCCTTTTATTAAAACTGAACCACTGCAAATCAAGAATCCATTATGTTTCTGAAAAGGTTTCTCAGCATGAAGCTAACATTATCATTTCCTTATCATAAAATTACATAATATCTGAAAAGTGTGAATATTGTTTTGCGTCATTCCATGGCTTGTGAAAACTCTGTCAATATCCATCATGGCTCCCAAAGTTTAAGGATCTAGGGTAGGGAGGGAGGTCAAGCTCAATCCAAGTTAACAGTCCCTCTCTCTACCACAGGAAAAACTACATACTGTAAGCCCCATGAATAAGCAATTACAATGAAATGAATGTTTTATGAAGGAAATGCACTTGGTTTTAAAGGTCACAAAGTGACAGATAAGAGCATACAGCAAAACAAATCCAGCAAATTACTGATTGACCTGCAGGGTCAATGAATCCAAGCAATAAATATTTCTGCTCTTTGAATAATTAAAAATGTCAAAGCACAATGGCTGCAGACAACAGTGTTAAGAATGCAGATACAACAGATGATCTACTTCACATTTAAGTACTTCACTTACCTGTCCTGTGACTGCTCTTCATACATTCTTTCCTTTCCTTCTTTAAAGAGTCTTATGGCCCGTTTTGATTTTTTCATAAGACTGTCAATGTAGATTTTAAAATACTCATTCTCACTGAGTTGTGCGAGTTTCTGGTTGTCATCATATTTGCTCAGTATAAGTCGCAAATGTTGGTAAGTATCAGGTAGAATGTCAAGTATATAGGGTGGGCTGTTTTTGAGTTGAAGCTTTGGGTTTTGGCACAATCTTACCTATAAGCAAAAACAAGAGAATGTAAAAGACAAGAAATCCATTGAGGCAAAAACTGATTTGATATTTTTAAATTTATCAGGTATAACATACGTCTCTAACCTCCAACCCCAAAGAATTAAATTGTACTTCATTTATATTCTGTGAAATTCCAACACAGTTTCTGATGTCAAAAGGGGCAAAATTTGACTTAATCTTGTCGCATCTCTAAAAAGCAAACAAGCTTACCTACATATTTGTGGGTTTTCCCTTCAAGTATGTATTTTCCTGCCTAATATATACTAAGGAGTATATCAAAACACAGCATGCAACAAATGCCAAGAGCAGTACTTTCATACAGCTCTGTTTGCGGCAGGTAACATAGCTATAGGTGTTTAAGTATCTTCTAAGAACTGACATAAATTACTTTGTCATCTGCTGTCTCTCTTTATCTAACAATATAGCCTCTTAGACCCTAGGGAAATTTAATTTTGAAAGCTCTGCACGTAAGAAAATGGTCTGAACTGTGACAGTGGTTCAAAAATTATTACCTATAACAGACAGACTTTAGGTCACTCAAAAACAGATACTGTAAACCAGGAAACAAAAATATTATAAACTCCTTGTTTTCCAGCTCCTGGCTGGAATAGAAGTTCAGTACTCTGCTTTTGGCTGGATGAGGAGGTGCCCACTACAGCTTTGTTCTCATTCCCCTACCTGTAACAAAAGACTCATAGGTCAAGACAAGGACGGGGAGAGCTCATTCACGAAATACTGTCACAAGTATGTAATATTAACGTACTTAGCCTCGACTTGGGGAACTTAATTCATTTAATTACCAATCAAATCAGAGTAGGGTAACAAGAAAATAAAAACAAACCTTAAAAACACATTACACCCACCACTCCCTCCTTCCTGTGCCTAACTTGATTTTCCACTCTACCTCCTCCCCAACAATAGCACAGGGGGATGGTGAATGGGGACTGTGGTCAGTTCATCCCACCTTGTCTGCCACTGCTCCCTCCACAGTGGGAGAACTCACACTCTTCCCTTGCCCCAAACAGGGGTCCCTCCCACAAGAGACAGCTGTCTTTGAACTTCCCCAACATGAGTCTTTCAACAGACCACGGTTCTTCATGAACTCCTCTAGAACATATCCCCTCCACAGGGTGCAGCCCTTCAGGAACAGACTGCTCCAGCGTGGGTCCTCTGCAGGGTCACAAGTCCTGCCAGGAAACCTGCTCCAGTGTGGGCTCCTCTGTCCACGGGACCACAGATCCTGCCAGGAGCCTGTTCTAGCACATGCTAGACACGTTAAGATGTCACAGCCTCCTTCAAGCATCAGCCTGCTCTGGCATGGGGTCCTCCATGGCTTACAGTGAAAGCCAGCTCCACTGTGGACCTGCATGGTCTTCACCGTGGGCCACAGGGGCATCTCTGCTCCAGCGCCCAGAACACATCCCCCTCTTCCACTGAGCTGTGTGGCTGCAGAGTTGTTTCTCTCACACATTCTCACTCCCCTCTTCCTTGGCTGCAATTTGCTCCTGCACAGTAGCTTTTCTCCCCCTTCCTTCAAGACATGGGGCATCACTGCTGCCGATGGGATCAGCCCTGGCCAGCAGCAGGTCCGGCTTGGAGCCAGCTGGTCTATTGGACAGGGAGAAGCTTCTGGCAGTAACTCAGCAAAACTACCCCTGTAGTCCCCGTCACTACTAAAACTCTGCCACTTAAACCAAATAGAAGAAAACATCTCAACGGACTTGCAATCACTGTGATCCCAAATGTCACAAATATTAATTGAATATATATTACTCAGTAAGTTCAGACTAATAGAATACCTTTCTTTGAATCCAGCTCCACTGGAATTGTTACTGGAATTGAAAGGTACTCTTTGTTCCCTATACATCCTTAATGTAAAAAGGTTAGAATTGTCTCCTGGCTATCTAGATTTCCTGATAGTTTGTTCTGTAATTTTCTGTTCTAGAAAGAAAAGAGACTAAAACTAACGGGTAGTTTTTGACTGCTGTTGTACTGAGCTATTCAGGCCCAGCTAAAACATTGCATAGAAGCACTTTCTAGATGTGTGTGCAGCTGTACATATGCAAATACTTATGAAAAAATTAAGACCATGTGGTATAAATGTTTTATAGGCATCATTTGGAGATTGCCACATTATATATTAGTGACTTTGACATTCTTTTGAAGTAACTAATGAGGTTATAAAAACATCTTAATACTGCTGAAAGTAGATTCCTATTCCTACTAATCTATCAACTTGAAAAAAGTACATCCTTGAGCTTTTCTGGGTGAGAAGGGAACAAACCTGTATCCTGTAACACTCACCTCTTTAAACTCAAAACTCTATCACTATTGCTGACCTCTCTTGTAATTTCTACATCTACACCATTATGAAATTCACTGCCTAAAGATTGCTGCCACTACCAGACTTCCATGCACCCCAAACAGCAAAGCAAACAGGTAACAGTTTGTGTCTGAAACATACAGTGCAAGAACACAATCAGGCAATTAGACTGAGGTAGCGGGAGGTCATAGTTAGAAAAGTGGAGATAGAGTGGACAAAAGTCAAGCACTAAGTTTTTAAAAAGTCTAGCACCATTCAAAACAGTATTTAAAACTAATGCCATCATTAGCAATAACTCTCCTCATTTCGCTGATTGTTATTTTAGTAGTTTCTATTATTCTTTCAACTTTTTGACCAAGTAATACATCAGGAAGCCTTCTGATGTGTTGTAGGACAGTCCTTATCCCAGAGAAATTTACATCTCAGTAGGAATAAAAACAAACAGAAGCACGCAAATATGAACACATGAGCTGTTCAACATGCTGAAGAGTGGTTCAGAGACTCAACACCAGCAGTTTGGTATTACTAGACATAAACTGCAAAGTTCCACAGCAAGCTCTCAAAAATAATTTAATGGCTTATAAAGGAAGCTGAGAACAAGTTGGAAAGAAACAAAAAAAAGTAAAGCATATTTGATCATCTCTTAACCAGTAATGAACTCTGAAACTGCAATCTACAACTGCAAGAGCTTTGAAACTCTGAATAACTTGTTTATGTTTTATGTGATAAAGGTAAGGTCATCAGGATAAAAAAAAAAGGGGACAACAGGGCCCCAGTTGTGGGTTAGATGTCTAAGGTAGGGTTCTCAAAGAATAAAGATTGGCTATGATAGCATTCTTTCAAGATCAGAAAAGCACTGAAGTTAGGCTGATAGATAGAATTCTCTAAGGAGATGTCAGAAACACAGACAAAGAATCTAACATGTGTAGCTAGACCTGAAAATCATCCATGCAGAGACATACATGAATTTCTTTTAGTAGAAAATTAAGAACTGGAATCCCAAATACAGAAGTGAAAATCTTTATGAAAACCAGATTTTTTACCTCTGAACTTTGAGTTCACTGTGATTTCTGGTTTAGTGAAAACTTGAAACCGAACTGACATTCTTCACAAGACCAACTACAGGTGACACAAATCTATCACTGATCAGGCCTTACAACTCTCTGAAGTAAAATCACAAGGGAAAAAAAACATCTAAAAGATCAAAATGTTTATTTAGAGAAAAGTCAGCAATGACAGCAGACCACAAGCAGAAAAGGCTGCAATCATTCTGAATTACTTATTTACCCTAACTTAAATCTCATGAACAAAGCATTAATTATCTTTCTGAAGTCTACCTTTTCAATCAGACGTGCCAACAAGCAGAACAGAAGTGATTTCATATATGTTAGAAATACCATTAAAATATTAAAACAAGAAAAAACAATTTGCTCATGCTGGTTGCTGTATTTTCAACAGTCAGTCCATTCAGCTAATACAAAAAGAATATCCCCTTATAAGGAAGAAGTATTTTCTCTTCCAGAAGTTCTAGAAAGTTTTCTTCATTTTCACATCCTTACAACTTTAGCTTTATGGTAGCTTTGTAAGCTACCATACAAGGTAGCTTACAAAGATTCGCTTTCTGCTAAATTTGGAGAGATAAATAACAGCACATTACCAGAACCTTCCATTTCAGAGCAATGTTTTAAGAAAACCATACAAAAATTCTTCAACACCTTCATTAGTTTTATGCATTAAAATTGAAAAAAATACTAATATTACGTTCAAATCAGTGATCCACTGAAGTAGTATAAGGTTTCCTTCACTTTACAGAGTACACAAGGCTTCAAAGGAAGTAAGTCTGTAAGGAGATGGTTGGTAAACCATATGGTTTCCAGTCAGGATGTCCTGACACATACCACAGCAGTTCACAATTAAAAGTAAGCAGTAAGAAATGACACCTGCTGACGCAAAAGATTTGCCAAGACCTTTCTTCAAAAGAAAACAGAACTCAAAACAAGTAAACACAAAAAAAAACCCAACACCCCTAAAATAGAGTTCTATATTGCACTTTACAAGGCAACTCTCACCAACACATTAGGAACGGACATGAATCATATCTCTGTGTGATTTTTGTATTGTTATGACTGGAAGTAAACATGTATATATTTAGCAAGCACTCAGTGGTGAAAAATGAAAAGCAGCAAGCAAGTTAGTAAAAAAATATCTCTCTTACTGATGCAAACTGAGAAAAAATTAAGCTCCTTTCCACTAGCTCACACTCAGGGAAAATTCAAGTACTTAATCCAGAATACCAGAAACAATAAGAGTGCAATCCTGTGAAAACTGAGGCATTACCTTGATCTACCAGAAAATGATTTTGAAACAGTTAACTCCAGAACTTCCAGACAAGTTAACTCTAGTTTCTTTGCAGAAAAAAATTAACCCCTTCTCCTTGCCCACCCCTAACCAAAATAAATGCCACTACTCATAACACTTTTGAAGATATTTGACTTAAATTATAAGGCATTATTTCATAGCATCATCGGAGATGAGAGTAATGGAGGCCTATTGTATACAGACAATTAATTTCTTGCTAAAAACTATCTTCTAGTCACTCTTTAAAGCAAAGATGAAGGCCTTTGACTCACTTGACAAAAGGACCCTTGTTAAAACAAAGTACAGCAGCCTTAACACAATCTGTTTAAACACCTAAGGCTAGTCAAAAAGACAATACAAGGAAAGTAACACAGCTAAAACAGAGTATCTAATGAGTAGGACATCCGCTAAACACTGTTTTCAGCCTCAGTGAATGGGTCAGAACAATTGGAGCATCAGTGCTCACACACTTCCAAAATTACACTTCCAAACTGCCTCACTGAACAAAGCTGCTCCTTCTGCCATGCTGCACAAAATAGCTAAAGAATTATAAAACACCTTGACATACCACAAACAGCATAAAGGTAGCCCTGCTGTTAAGACACCATAACTCTCTAGCAATCCTCAACATCCAATGCAACCAACCATAAATTCTGAAAAACTTAATCAGGAGGGGATAGTAAGGAAAATGGTCAAAGTTGGAACATTATGGTTCTTCAACAGAGATTTCTTCCTGCCTGAAGTCACCCGAACTGCAATGCATTTCATTTTCCATAGGGAAAAAAGCTCTTGTCAGAATATAAGTAGAAGTGACCCAAACACCTATCTTTTTGACTGAGAATACAGTAAGTGTTTGTTCAACCACACTGCAACTGAGCCATATGTTTCCATAGTGGAAGAATTAACAGTAAGACTGCTGATACCACAGACACACAAGGACAGTTGACTTTGGAGGTTAATTTTACCTTCTTCTAATTAGAAAGAGAGAGAAGCTTCTGTTTCCATGTTTAATTTTGTATTCTTTTTCCATAACCAGCATACACGTGACGTAAGATTTCCTGCCAACTTTGACCATAGAATCAATTACACAAAGTTTTGCAAAGGATAACCAACACACGCATAGTTTCAACTACCATGCTCTGTATACTCAGATACTGACAGATGTTAACTTAAAACCACAATACTAAACTGCAGAGGTAACACAGCTTTTATTCGCCAAGTCGACAGTATAAGCTTTGGAGAAGCACTCTACTTTGCTCTTAAATAATTCCTAAATAGCAAATCAATTCCATCTGCATTTATACAGTCAAACAACTGGTGGGCCATGACAGTGCACCGAATAGTCTAGGCAATATTGTTAATCTTCGTAGGAGAAAATTTAATTATTTTCAGGCCCAATGAATAGGAGGAATGACAAGTGATTACAAGTTGATGAAATACACCTACTTTAGAAAATCCCATTCATAATGTGTCACGATTTTATCAGCTTGAATCCCACACGAGTGAAGTGTAAAAAAATAGTACTGACAAGTCTAAATAGCCCAAGCAGTAAACAGACCTAACTACTCCAATGTTTACATAACAGTAACTCTCTCCCAAAGCTGGTCTCAACATACCATTATTCTCTATTAGTAATACATGGCTAGGGTCTAGGTTTTAAAAGTCTTTAGGTTTACAATCACAGAAAAATTACCTCATGTATCTTATACACAGTTTAAAGGAAGACCTGAGTTATTTGTTAACAATATTTATTTTTCATTTATTTACAGGATACAAACTTTCTAAAATATAGATCGTGTTTTAAAAACAGTAATTTGCTTCCTACAAGTCCAGAGATATATGGTCAACTTTCTAATACAGTGCAAGCATTGAAAAGCAAGGCTAGCCTTCTAAACCATAAAAGAAATATTATCTTTTGCGCTGCACAGGAATTGAAATATTTTTGTTTCTTAATGATAAGAACCCATGAGAAAAGCAGTAGAGAAACCTGATTGATGCTAACACTTGTTTTCCCTTTAATAATGCAGTTAATACTGTAAATTCACATAAGGCATATCAATAAACCACAAAAAGTATAGATCCCAGTATATGAAGTATAAAAAGGAAAGATATATAGACAGATAGCAATTTACCTTCACTGATTATCTACGTGCAGATTTTTTTTCTTATTCCCTGCAAGAATGTTGCTTATGGCAACTTTTACAAACAAGGATCTAAGCAGGAGCACTATTCCAACATTCTGTCGTGCTAAAGAACTCTTTTTCAAAATCCATTCTTGTTTTCAGACTGATAATAGAAGTTTAAAAAGAAAGTACTCAAACAGAACTGCAATATTCTGCCTATTCCAACCTAAGGTATCAGCCCATGCAACACTGATCTTATCATGAAATCTGAACAATTTGAAAGGACACACACAACCAATTCTACACAAATTCTGTCTAGGTGGACAGAATTTTTACACACCACAAAACTACCCTCATAGTACAGTTCTTATAGGGTAGGAATGTAGTATTGGTTAATCCCTCATTGCAAACAAGTAACTCATACAGAAAATCTCATATGCTAGAGTATAAAATTACGGAAAGAAACGAAGGAAAGGTAAAAGATGGCAATTTTAAAAAAGATAAAAATGCAAACTAGAAATTATTGAGCTCTACCACTAGTTTTTAAGGCTGCTCTTTTTTCAGTGTTTGGTCAAGATAAAAGCTTTGCTTTGTTTCCAATATTCATTTTCTTAACATCATTAAAATGTGGGAAAGCTTCAGCTACCTTACTACAGTAATAAGATGGTTATCACAGCTACTGTAGTTAAATAATAAACAAACATAATAACTGTTATTACAACAAGTAAAATAGGCCTCCAAGCCACAACCTTACCATGGGTAGGACCCCAGTGACTTGGCAGAGCTACTGCCTTCAACAGTTATTAATTTCATCCCTGACCCACCACAGGGTCATAGAAATCAGTCATAGGACACACTCCAGAAATGGGATTTAAAACAACAGTTGATCAAGCAGGTTTCTATTTCTGATTTTAATCCCTGGGTTTGATCAAGGCAGAGATAAAAATGACCTTCCTGTGCCTGCTGCCACACAAGACTATGAGATTTACATTTGTTTGCCAGTATATTAAATTTGCTCAAACACATCCTTTCACTACAAGTACCAAATGCTAAAAACTCAACCAACAAGCTAGAGCATTCTCACACTATGACATCATCCTGTCTGGTATACTTTAATACAATTTGGAAATAAAATTTGATTAACTGAGATCAGCTTAAAGAGGATACATTAAAGATCCAAATTGAGGACACTTATCCAGTAAAATTAAAAAGGAAGCACAGCACAATGTCCAGCCTTTCCAGTGACTTCTACCAAACAGGCCTTCCTGGCTGTTCTGATGGGCTGTGACAAATACAGTTTCCTGTATTGGATGAGGAAAAGCAATCCAGAAGCCTAAGCAGTGGGATAAAGACTTTATGGTAACTGTGATTATACAAACAAATCAGGATATAATCTTACTATATAGATCTGTAAAAGGCCTGACACAAGGAAATCAGAGCTCTGCATTCCTCACGTGGTTTCAACAACAAACCAGATTCCTAGTTTCCAAGCTGAAAACTTCCTCCTACTGAAGAAGAGTACCTACTTTTGAGTATTTATACTTGCAGTTCTTAGCACAAGAGAACTCACTGTTAACAGCATCCTGACCATTAAGAGGAAAATGTCAACAGTCTGTGTGATAATACCCATTTTTACTAAAGCTGGGGTTTCAGTTTATAATTGCTATCAGAAAACACAGCGGAAATACAGATACTATTCTTGGAGCATCAAAAAAGAGCCTACAAAGATTTCAAAAACAGTTTAACACTAGTAAAGGCACCTTACATGAAATAGTCTCTACCCTGCCAGTATAACTAATTATGAACACTAAGAAATATTGAACATCTTATTTCACAAGAGCCACAGGGACTGCAGAGAGTTGCACTAAATCACAGAGAACCACAGAGTTAAAAAGTAGTAACTATATTGTCATACAGACCCAAGGCCAACAGGTAGTAATCCTCACTGCTCAGCAGTTTCAAGAGGAAGCTTTTAAGTATCACCCCGTGTGCAAAGCAGAGTGACTGCATCTCCTGAACAGCAAGTCACGTTACAATCAAACTCTTCGTATCACTGGTAAGACACTCTCCTAGATAATCTATCATTATACAAGCTGTCATTTCAAAGAATACTAAACAAAATGTATCAGAGTGGCGAGGGAAAGCGTAAGAGCTAAAAAGCTACCGTCTATCCCCTTGCTTCCTGAAAAATGAGTTTCAGTATAGTGTATTTCTAGTTTCAAAATTAATAGTAGACATACTTATAAATCATTAAAATGCACAACACATACTCAAAAAGTTAGGCATGCCATACTAATCTGTTTACTAAACTGACAAGAGTGACATCCACCAGTACCCACGCACATTCCTAAAAGCACAAACACATCTATGCTGCCATCACCAATATATCTCACAGGACAATTAGCTTAACTGAAGTTTAATACTTCAGAGGTCTTGTTTGCAGACTAACAGTGTGATACAACGTGAAACACACAGAATATGTGATTACAAGTCTAAGTTAAGCAGCTTTTGGTTAGGACAGCTCTTCAACTTTGAGTCATTTTAAAGGATCTGAAAATAACAATAGCCTAAGGCAAACACACACATTTGTTTTCCTTCCACAAACCAAGATTAAAAAAAACATAGCCAGAGGCCACTGGAACAGAAAAACAAAAAAAAAAAACCCAAAAAACAAATGATGCTTAAATAACCTAAAACATAAGTCCCCTAACTTCCCGAGGCACATGCAGCACAGCACTCAGAGCTGCAAGAAGCTCTTTGCCTCCGTCTACCTATTTAAATACTCCCATTCTTCACTGTGCGTGTACACGGACGCACAGAGACACCCACCACTTTGTCCATAAGCTTCCAGGTCTTCTCCACAGTCCTGCGGTCGGCAGCTGCCTGCTTGGGGGGGCCCACAGCATCCTGAATGGCATCGATGAAGCCCAGGATCCGTCCCTTGCGCGGGTTCCGGCCGTTCAGGGAATTGGCCATCTGGGAGCCAAGCTGGCCGCAACGACAGAGAAACACAGGCTCATAAGGTGCTCCGAAAACATCTTGTCATAGAACCCGCCGCAGCCTGCGAGGCAACATTTCCTTCTCCACGGGCAGGAAAGGGCAAGATCAGAGCATGTTTAGGAACAAGCTTAACTTTTCATGACAAACAGCGTAAACCCACCTGGCCCGGGTTTACATTGGCAGAAGCGATCTCGGATTTATTGTCAACACCGACAGTCGGGAGGGGGGAACGCACCCGCGCCCGGCTCCGCGCCGCGCCCCTGCCCGTCCCTGCGCCCGCCGGCCGCGGGCACATGCCCGGCACGGCACAACAAAAGAGGCCGCGGCGGAGCGGGGGCAGGAGCGGGAGCAGAGGGAGGCAGCGCGGGCAGCAGACAGGACCCCGCAGCGGCACACGGACCTGGCCCTCGGCACACGCATACGCACGGACCGGCACCGCGCGGCCGTGTGCCAAGGGCGAGAGCGGCCGCCGGGAGAGCCGGGAGCGGGCGGCCGCAGGGAGGCTCCTCAGCCCCCGCGGCGGAGCGGAGCGCAGGCGAAACGTCTCTCCGGACGAGGCTCTCCTCCCTCCGGCCGCGGCGGCTTCAGTGCCGCGGGAGGCAAGCGGAGCGCATCCCGCCCCGCCGCCCGCGCCCGTCCCGCTCCGCGCCGGCCGCCCCGCAGGACTCTGCCCCGTGCGGCTGCTGCTGGCGGCGGGCGAGCGAGCGCTGCCCCACGGGGAAGCGCGGAGAGCTGCTGCCCCGCAGCCCGTGTCCCCTCCCGTACCCCAGCCCTCCCGGCGGGTGGGTGGGAATGTGCGCGCTTGTGTGGAGAGTCCTAGAGGCGCATGCAAAAGAGACAGAGAGAGAAGAGAGAGAGAGAGAGATGCACACGCACAGGTCTGTCTGTGGCACCGCTCGCAGCCCCCGGCAGGCTGTGGTCTCCCCGCACTCCTAGGAAGTGAGGCTGGCTCCCCGGCGGCGGCGGCCCCGCTCCTTCTGCCGCGCCCGCCCCCTCCCCGCGGCGCGCTGGCGGCCGCTCCTCTCCTCGGAACATGCCCACCCCCGGGACAACACTCCGTGCGCGCCTGCGCGCCGCGCCGCCAGCGCGGCCCTCTGCCCGGGGGCGGGAACGCTGCCGCACCACAGCCAATGGAAACGGCAGATTCGCTTGATTGACGCGATATCCAGCAAATGGGAGCTGGTATAGGCACGGGGCGGGACAGCGGCCCGGAGCGGGCTCGGGCTGGGGAGGGGGCGGGAAGGAGCGGCCGGCAGGGGTGGGAGCGGTAGCAGAGCCGGCCGGGGTCGGGCTGGGGGAGGGGGGGCTCCCGTCCCACCTGGTCCCGCCGGCTGACGGACAGCCTGAGGCCTCTGAGGGCGGTGGGGCCGGGTTGCCTTCGTGGGAACGCTGACATTGTCCCTGTCTGTGGGGTCTCCCGGGGCTGTGGCAGCGTGTCCCTCCCTCCTGGGAAGGCTGTGGGACCCCTGCCTGCTGCAGCGTTTAGAGTGTGCTCACGGCTGAGAGTTCCTGCCGCCTTTTTCAGTGCGCTGCCTCTGCGCTTCCCCTTCGCGCTTTTGGGAGTTTGCTGGGGGTTTTTTGCTGCCACAAAGAACAAGAACTTTTTTTTCTCTCTGTCTGGTTCCTTTTCTTGTTTTGGGGTTTTTGTTTGGTTCTTTTTTGTTGTTTTTTTTTTTGGGGGGGGGGGTGCTGATTAACAGGGATGTGTGCGTGAGAGAGAAATGGGGGCTGGGGGGCTCGTTCCTCATCAGGAATCCTAGAGTGTCAAAAATAAACACACTGCTGGAGCCCAGTTTGTGAGGTTGGGTGCTGGTGGGAGGTTTTGGGGGGTAGCACAGCATCCGCCCCTCCACAACACCCCTCTGGCCCGGCTTCCAGAGAGGGAACAAAGCTCTGGGAACGATTAATCAAATAGCTTAATAAAAAAAAAAAAAAAAAAAAAAAAAA